AAGCAGAGTACTAGAATAGAAGATTCTAGTATTTATTGTTTAGACATAAATGCTTTAATGTATCAGACCTTTCCACAGATCCTATGTTGTTTATTTTTAAAATGTTTGTGTGTTCCTTTCAGATATCAAACTCAAAACTGCTAGATTATATAAGTATTTTTTAAAAGCAGATTGTAATATACTGTAGTGTTCTTTAGTTTGACCAAAACCAGCTAAATAATACTCATAACTTTCTTGCATATACACGACTTTGCTTTTTATGAAAGGATGCTGGGTGTAATTAAGAACCTAAAATGGCACACCATGTTATAAATCAGTTGAATATATAATGATGAAAATTCAACTTTAACAGCTATATGAAATCTTTAAAATGCAAAAAGGTATAACCCAACTTAGAAAAAACCCTCTGTGAAACATGGAAATGACACTTGCTTTCTCAACTCTACATGTCACAGGGCCAATCACATCTCTATATTTCAGTTCAAATGCACCATGTGTACTTAGGAACACATCAATAGCTGACAGTTATGTACTGTTCTATGCCAAGTGTGAAATAATTTACTATAAGATACTAACAGCTAACAATATATACTAATACGTTAAATTTTTCCTTTTTCAAAATTTAATACATGTTAACGATTAACTGCTACTTTAAATTATACCAATGAAACCTAAAGAAGTTAAAAATGTCAAGTTCTGTGGAGAAAAAAGGATATTTAAGTGTAAAACATTGCAAATAATTTCATGTAAGCATATGGTATAAAGACTAATCTTAATACAGTGACAAAACAGCTTATGTTTTAAGATCTCTTAAAAAACAAAAGTTTTATATTCAGTTTGAGGAGTAACCTTTGGCTTTACTTCAAAGTTACCACAACACGCTATGCCTAATCTTTTAATGCAACACACCCGAGTGCAAAAATTGTTTTTTGAGAGGGTTTAATGTATAAGTACTCTAATAATGATGAAAAATCTACTTTGCTTATTTGCAAAATATTGAAAATGGAACTCTTAAGTTCAGCTATTGGTATTTTGAATTTAAAATTATCTTTAGGAAATAATGGATTTTTAAACGAAGCTTTGTTAGAATTCAAAAATTATTTGTCAGTACAATGACAATTTGTAGAACTATCAGATAGCAAAATCAGTTCACAGTATTCAAAGCTATTTCAAACTAAACAATTTAGCTGACAATCTTATGACATTATGAACATGGTCCATCATCCTGCTCTCTAATCTCAGTAATCATCAGCTAACTACAGAAACAATGATTAGTAAGAAAAATCTGGAGAAAATGTGTCAGAAACATCATATCTTGTAAGTTTAGTTGGGTGCTTCTGTTATAGGCTTTCAATTTAGCCATAAATGAACAAAGTACAAATCTTTTGCAATTTTATTTCATTTTTTCAACTGTGAAGATACACAGAAAAAGGCAGAAAACCTAGTAGAGGCGTTGAGGTGGACCCATGGTGCTCTTAATGTGCAATGACCGGATATTCTGCCAATTTTTCTTCAGTAGTGAAACCAAGAAATTTATTGCAAGGTTAATGTTCTGGGCTAGTTCATCATCAGACATTTTCACATGACCAACAGCAACTGCCAAACACAACACCTACAAAGAAAGATTTCCTATATTTAAAAGCAAGTCACATATGAAGATTATATATATAAAAAATAGTTTATCACTTTCATGATTTAAAGTTATTTGAAAATCCTGTAAAAAAATACCAAACCAGCAATTCTTAATTAGTGCTTTGTGAAAACTAAGATTATATACTGTTATCTATTAATTTTAAACTCTTGCTATGATATTTTATTACCTATAAAACATTTCATAATTCAGAAATGCCTTCAATTTACATTTTTTTTCAAAGCTACCAAACAACTAACTTCTTTACACAATATTTGAAACTAAGCCTTCCAACATGTATTTGCTTATTAAAGCAAACCTTTCCTCAAGGTCAAAATATAAGGAGACTTCAGCAATATTTCAGATATCTATAATTGAACTTTTGTATTCAAACAACAGTAATTTTTGAATGAGCAAAGCTTTAAAACCAAGTTCATCAGTTTACAAATCATTTAATCAAAGAATTTTCACTTTTAGCTACAATAATTTTCACTAACAAACCTTTTTCATCTGGAATTTGATTGTGGCTTTCACTTCATCTATCTTTGCCACCATTGATTCACCATGAGCCAGTAGTGATGGAAACTTGCCAGCTTTATTCAGTCCAGGACCAAGAAGTCTTGGAATTTGCTTAATTAGAGACTCAGATGCAAGAAAAGCATCGTACTTTTTTGCTGAAAACAGAAAAAAAGTCACACTAGGATGAAAATGATGCCCTTAATCACTAGTTAACAATACAGATTCAATGATTTTAATACATTTATCATATTGTAACTTTCAGAGTTTGAGAAGAACTTCAAATATACTTAAAAAACCAGAGTTTATTTTTGTCTGTATTTTTAAGTTTATCATTTCATGGAGTATTTTTTTTATTAAAACTTAAAGTTTAAAGCTTTTGCAGGACCAAGACTTAAAAACAGGAGTTTTTTTCCAAGATTTCTAGAGCCGAAATATTTTAAAAGCTTATTCTCCATGACTTTACAGGACCCGTATGGATCCTACTTTGATGAAACTTATACTGAACTTCATTTTGGTCATTGTAGTATTGCTGCTAAAGCAATATATTCAAAAACCTATACAAAATTGCCACGTTCATCACTAACATGATGATCTTCAGCAACGGACTTCAGAAATGACATTCATAAACAACCACAGTGAAAAAATACAAACTATCATAAAAGAATGCTAATAAATATAATGATTTATATTAATAACTTGCATTATAAAACAGAACTTCTTACCTACTAATTACAGATTTTAAATTTGAAGTTTGTGAAATCAGGGTGCCAAGAATGATTGATAAAATAAATTATGAATTTCCATGAAATTTATTATAATCAATCCAAACAATAAGTGGAGTACAGCTTACTCAAACTAATATACAGTATCAATGTATTTTATCTACTTAGGTTTACTAGGACCTTAAATTCATGTAACATTTTTCTTATTATACAATGTACACAAATGCCAGATGGTAAAGTTAATAAAATGAAAAGTGAAAGAAGAATACAAACCTAACTTTTTAACAAGTTTCTTGTTCTTGTTTAATTTCTTTAAAGCCTCCGAGTCCATGCAAGGAATTGCATTGGCCTTAGCTTCATCACAATGCTGCTGGTCTCCCAATACACATACTGAATATTTAGGTTTTGGGATGTGCTTTAACCTAGCAATGTGAATATCAAATGGCTAATATTTACACCAAACCAACATTCATACAATTTTAGATAATTAAAACATACAACCCATTTTAAAACTTATAGATACACTGACTATTTAATATTATGGTAATTGCACTATTGTTTTTCTTAAAAAATAATAATAATAATAATAATAAATAAAAAAATAAAAAAAACAAACACACACACACACAGTGACCCTTAATTGTATGGTTATACATCTACTTTGTAACAAAACATGAAAATGTAACAAAAATCCTTTGATAAATCTTTTCATGCACTGTGAGGTTAAGAATATGTAATACAAAGATTTAGGCTTTCACAGAAATGAACTATGCTATAATGATTAAGAAAGTTACACAATCCCATACAATACACTCTAAAAATAGCAAATTTTAGTGGTGAAGAATGAGCAATGAAATCATGAAAGGCAATACATAATGTGACATTTTCCAAACATACAATCAGAATAAAAACTACACAAATTGGTAAAACGTTAGATCACCAAACTATCATTATGCTTGGATTTTACCATACAATAAACTGTAAAAATTAGCTTTTTTGACTGGTACTTGTGTTTATTTGTAACAAACAAGATTTCTTTATCTCTTGCTTAACTAAAAGAGCCTCTAATGTATGTGTCTGTGTAAACAAAAATTAGAACAATGTGTATCAACATTAGCAACTTAAAAGGGCCAAATAACATTGATGAAAAATACATTTGGAAAAGTCACAAAATTTAAGCATACAAATTTCAATTTAAGAAAAAAAAAGTTGAGTTGGGAAAATTTGTTCAGAAATTTTGCAAGTACTAATGTCAAGTCACTCATTACAGCATTAAAACCTACCAGTAGTACAGTATGGCACAGGTAACATTTTTTATATATCAGTTACAAAGGTAATTGAATATAATATTGATTAAACATTTTCCTAAAATCTTTCAGTTATATTTGCCAATCTTGCATATTAAAAAAAATCACTATGAAGCCAGACAGAGGATTTGCTTCAAGAAAATTGAAGAATGATTAACAGGTTGAAACTTTGGTGACCTTATCCAAGTTAATTTCTTGTCAATTATCACATTTTGTCCAATCAAGTAAGAGTTTATAAAAACATTACTTGAAAATATAAATTCAAAGGTTTTTGCTACATACCATGGATCAATGGTAATATATATAAACTTAGTGCATGAATAAACCAACTTTAATCCCCTGGTCCCCAGTTTACAATCCGAATGAACAATTACCATGTTCATAGTTTAAAACTATTTATTCACACCAGTAATTTCTCAGAAAATTTAAATTTCATTTAGCATATGAAAAGTTTAATTCAACATATACAAAACTGATTGTTCCCAAGAAAAGTCCAAAATTTATGGCAATGATAAACAAATACCAATTAATTTTACTTAATTTTCATCAAACATTGAAAAAAAGTGGGCACATGTACGTAACCTCAACAAACCTTATTGTCACCATGATGATTTCTACCAACTAGTGGTGACAAAGTCACCTCCCCAGTTGTTTTAAGACCCTGGGTGAAAGGTCCGCATGAAATTTAAACATGCTTCCTGACTGGCTGATAAATGCTGCATTTGAAAGTCTCAACTCATTAGAATGTGCAAATAGTTGCACTAGTATTTTTACAACCTCTCAAAATGAATTTGTGTGAATTACACATTATTATAATGAAGTCAGGAATTGAAGTTGAATGTGTGGTCATTACAAGTGTTTACTATTAGCAGCATTTATCAGCAGCTTCAGGTAATATAATGAACAGCATACTTCACAGTCCCGGAAAATCGTTTATCTTTCTGGGGATCGTAATTTTTCAAAGCAATCTGCAGCTCCACTGTTTCGACAAATTTTCTCTGCTTCTTCTTGGAGTTCTCCACAACAGTATTCACACATTCATAAATGGTATCACGACTCACTTTGGAACTAAAAAGATAAAAAAAAAGCCCAATAGATTCATAAAACAAAGCTTTTTTCGACAACTTTAATGGATATATAAAAATTTCACAGTACTTTGTGTAAAAAATATCATTTAGTTTGTATTCCTAATAAAATTTTCTTTAGGAACATGGCTGAACATTATAAAAACAATTATTATAAAACTAATAAAAACCATACCTACCAGTAACAATATTAGACATAACTTTCAGTATGGCAAACATGTGCAAGTACCTACCGAACTTCCCTATTTTTCAGACGATTTTGGTTGTAAATACTAATTTAAACAGTCATGCCTGCCCATTTGCTTCATGGCTCAGATCAAAAAACTTGCAGTCATTATTCCAGTTTTTCACAATTTATATTCATGTAAGGACACACCCCACAAATATTGACAGATGATTGAATATTAATTTCCTTTCCATAGTTTTTTCCAGCTTAACCATTAATGAATGATACCATACTAAGCTCACTTTTTTCTCCAATTTTGTGTTTCATCAAATTTGGAATTCTTATTTACGTACTCGTACATTATGTATAATGATTATCCAGAATACACTCAACTACAATGTTAAGAAAAACCTTTAGCCCTGTTAAAATGCAACAGCTAAACTTTGCTCTATGCTAAATGACAATGCAAAAAGCTCCATACGAGTATTTGTAAAATGCTGATTTAATACTCATTCTTACAATGAGACAAGATTATTAACCATATTGCAGGGTGGCTACTCTTTTGCAGTTTTCTTTTCCAGGCTCCATTGAAAAGTTAAGCATGCACTTTAGTTTAAGACACACATAAATGGACAAAAAAATTCTGGGTAGTTGATCATTTGATAATATTAAAACAAATGATAGGTTTACCCAAATAAATATTCATATCAAGGACAAAAAACCTCATACTCAAAACAACTGTGGATACTTCAAAGTTGATGAGAATCATTATATTAATGCTTTAAAATCAGGAAATTTCAAATATTGGATATAATGGGGATATGGAGCAATCACAATTTTGATTTTAATGTTGTGGAGAGCATATAAACAAGTGACCAATGAGGTAAAATTTTGCCTGGTCATTATCATTTTATTATTCTTGACCTTGTTTAATACAAACTGGAGTTTATTACAAGACATTTTTATTTATGAAGTTCATGTATCCAGAGTGAGAAATGTTGAGGTCATTTACTAGTGACAAAATAAAACTGTCTACACATACAAAATTCCACTGCATAAACTTGTACAAGTTTGTGTGATCTTTTAAATATCTACTGAATGACAAATACTGTAAACAATATTAGAAGCTTGAACATTTGCACCTGTTACTGATGGCCAGAACAAGTACAGATGAGACTGGTATACAATATTACTATGCTAAACTGAATAGTTTACAATATTTTTTATTAAGGATTTACAATAATAACTTCAATTATGGCAATAAAAGTTTTGAAAGATTAGTGCTACATTTTCTTTTAAAAATTGAAAGAAATTTTCTACTTATCTAATGATAACAGTTTGCAGTTAATGACAGATGCACACTGAAAAAATGTGCAAGTGTGAATATACTCATTTCTTCAGTGTGCTCCTCCCATTATCTACAAATAATTTGCATCAGACTAATTCAATCACAAGAAACTCATACACATATATTAGTTTATCATTCCATGCTTCATTTCAAATTCATATTTAATTACATATAGACAAAATCAAAATTAAAAAAATAGCATGAAAAAGTATTGTTAACTTTTTCAGCACGGGATTGGTCCTTGGGACTGACCTCTACAATTTTGTGCTTGCCAATATCATGTCATGAATATGATGTTATTTACAGGTATATGCTAGTGAAAAACCAAGCAAAATTGTCTGTCTCTGGTTGTGCTTGGGAACACTTACTAAACAGTGAAGCAAAACAGACAAACAACATACTTTGTTGGGTACCTTCGGTCATTGTTGCAGTTATGCACCAATTGTTGTTCTGATATTATATAGAAAAGAAAAAAATAGACATGAGAAGAACATTGCTTTACAAACCTTAAGACTTAGTAAAACATGTTTAATATCTTGCATGTGAAAGCATTGTAATGTTTACTGATAATGTGCCAAGTTTTCTTAACATTTGCTTACTAATTTAAAAGTTATAGCATTAAAACTATAACATTGTGATATTGTAATGTTCTGTTTTTACTTTGGAGTGGAACATTTTTGAGTAGATAGATCTAATATTGATAATATAATACAACACTATCAATCATGAATTCACTTCTGTATTATTTTCCAGACTGATTGTGAAAGAGCAAGTGAAGAAGTTAAAGTGGTGTGCATGTCCTCACAAGTTGAGACCTCTGTGGCAAAGATTGATAAACTATGCTGACCTTACAATAACAGACTCAGGTGTGTAGTGTGGGGGTCTTGGACCCTACAGGAAACCTCCCTAATAATGTTTGTACATGCGAGGATATGATATTCAGCAAAATTATCAAAAACTAGTCTGCATCTGATGACAAACAAGTACATCACAACAAGGCAAGGGCAGATAAAAAGGAACTCTACAACAGACACAGGATAAACTTAAGAAACTCGAGTCTGATACTGAGAAACAAACAGATCACAGCTACTGTCACATTGAAGATACAAAATCAGGAAAATCTTGAAACTTAAGCCATGAGAGTTACCATAATCCAAGTGTTTTATCATCTCATTAGTCATCACATTCATGCGTGAATCTGGAATAGCACCATAATCCAAGTGTTTTATCATCTCATTAGTCATCACATTCATGCGTGAATCTGGAATAGCACCATTACTCCATGAAACCATCAACATTGTCTTCGGAATAATCAAGGGTAAACGAATGTACATGTGTTAAGTGTAAGAATTGTAAATTTAATTATAGGAAATTAGAACAAGAAAACGATAAACTACTGCTTGAAATAGAGAAAATGCAAAACATCCTGAAAGAGCCAGAGAAGACCACTGGATTACTGAAACAAATATATAACAAAATATATCAAAAAGATCACTGCATTACTGAAACAAAGATACAACATAAAATATATCAAGGGATCTGATGAACTTATTTTACTCCATACTAGACTTGCATCTTATAAATTATTTGAATGGCTTTTTGACACATGTTGCCCTAACAAGTCCATAATGCATTGCATGATACACTCGCACAGGGGCGCTCTATTACATCCATGAAATGGGTTATGGTCATTGTTTTGATGGAGCCAATTTCAGCTGCACTGTGCAACAAGAGATTGTGGCCAAGGAGCAACTGGTACTGATTGGACTATGTATCATGGGACAAAATACTGTGATGTATCAGCAAATCATTATAATATGTATTTGTGCATTATTTTCATTTTGGAGCAACATATTCAGGATCTTAAAATCAGCTGTTCTAGGTTTCTGGGACAAAATACTGTCATGTATTAGTGAATTATTATATATAATGGGAATTTTGTTATTGTTTTTTTATAGGGCAACAACTACCAGTAACTATGACTTGCTTTACATTACAATTGAAATAAACATACTAATCAAAAGTTTTTGTTTTACAACACCGTACAGTCTTTGATAGATCACCATACACATTATCTACATTAATCATTAAATTAATTCTTAGTTCTGATCCATTTAGAATGCTTGCTTTGATTAGAAGTTATTGATAACATGGCTATAATTGTTTTTGTTATTATTACTGTAGCTCTTTCAACAAAGTTTGCCAAGTCATATTCTTTTCATTCCACTATTGCACATTTAGTGTTACAAACATTCTGGCTCTCAGAATATAAAATGTTGCATCACTGTGTTATCAGGTAATACATGCAACATACTTTGACATCATAGAGCTAAATGTATAAAAGACAGTGATTATCGTCATCAATATTTTTAAAAAATTAATAATGATAATGTTATTTAGATTGCATGTTCCAATGTCTACATGACCATACTACTTTGTGCAGTAAGATTTTTTGTGATAGAACTACATCTTACAATACTTCTATACCCAAACATACTGAAGTTAGAAAATATTTTGTAATGTACTTAGAATGCAATTTGCAAATGTTGACAACTAGCTATTCTCTAAACAGATTCCGGATTAGAGGTGAGAAACTGTGACTACCATTGGTTGAATCTAAAGGAAATCTCTCCTCCAATCAGAAACAGGGATAAACCAAACAATCATAACACCTCTCCACAAACCACCAGAATACTATAAAGACTGACAACACCTTGCACACATTCAATCATCATTCATTCCACGTCTAGCTATCGACCTCGTCACACGCCAGTATGCAGAGTGTCTCGTTTCCTACGCCGCCGTTGATTATCGACGGACTACCTATCGACTTCTCGCCGCGAGATACAGACAACTTTATCCGTCACTATAAACCCCAAGCCCGAGTGTTCCCTGAGCGAACCAGATGCCTACGGAAAGGAGGTTTACTCCTTCAACCTAAAACACTGGACGATTTTAAATACCTAAGCCAACCATGGTCTTCAAATCCTCCCGTCACCTGCCAACCCCCCAAAAGTAATGCCAGCCTCCATACGATATTTCTACGGAATGTGCACATATCCTTCACGCCCGATGAAATACGCCAAGCCCTGCTTACCACAACCAATTTCAAGATCCACGCTGTCCATCGCATCCAGTCCAAGAAAACAGGCTTACCCTCTACTTTCATGAAAGTTGTTACAACTTCCAAACAGACTGCAGATCACATTCTATCCCAAGGCTGCTTCCTTGACTATCATCACTTCAGGGCAGAAAAACCCTACTGCAAGCCTCACCCACCCCATACCTTTCCTAATCCAACCCCCATGCCTACATTTCTTAACATCACGAAGACAACCGCCGTCAACCAGATCCCTACCAGCCACCCCAGAACATCCGATCAAGCTACCCAAACTTCTCCGACTCGTAAAACACGCGAGATGTCCACTGCAAGGGGGAAAAAAGGCACCCAGACACAGCCACCACTTACCACTGACACCATTTAACAGACCACCAGCACGCATCCCAGCCCCAAGCCATTGTCTCTAACACGTTCAACGTCTAACTCATCAGGTGCCCTAGTTATCGACACCTCCCCCGACGAACCTTTCTCAGCCTTCCGATTTCTTGCCTCCGACACTGAGAACCCAATGCCTTTACCTCGAGCCCGGAGCCAGAAACTTAGCCTATTCACTGCCACGATAAACTCCAGGAAACTGCACAACAATTACAAGAATTAATCACCCCCCAGCACTGGTCTTCACTTTGCCTTCCCCACTTGCGACTTACTTCTCAATAATAGAGC